GAGCTCCGCGGCCCAATTATCATTATTCCAACAGCTCAAACAGAATTTTTAGAAACGTTAACACCTACCGCGCCCGCATAGAGCGTCGGGGTGCGTTTTCCCGACCGCTGTCGTTAATCGACGGCCCGTAATCTTTCGTTTGCTATCGAACGGGATTTCTTCCCGCAAATGGAAGAGATACGGTACACTGGGCCGACGACTCCTACTCGAACGTTCGGCGGTTTCGTAGCCAGTGACGAGCGTTTCGGTTGCCGAGAGATCGGCAACGTCATCGATCAGATTCCTACGACAAAACGTAGAACCAGGGGGCTCGCGATCAAAAGGAAAGACGAGAATAAGTGCCGCGTAACCGCGCGGCGATTTGTCCGGATCAGCGTCAGGCTAAGCAGATTACAGGCTCTCCCCAAACGAGGCGGCAACCATGAGCGAACCATGAGGTCCGTCCCATCGATGGACAACTTGCCAAAGTGTATCTCGCGAGGGTGCGTACCGTCCGCGGCTCCCCGGTTTTCGGCGGCGGCGGCGTGCGAGCGACGGACGATTTTATCCGTTTCCGCGCCGGAAACCACCGCCGCGGACGGAGCCCGGAGAAACAGAAGCCCCCTCCGGCGACGTCGAGGACGGTGGGACGGTTTCGTTAAAAGGACAGATATCGATAACAAAACGCGCCGGTTTTATACGGCAACTAAATATATCCTCTCGGCGAGCGCATCCGCGCGGGCCGAGAGAGACGCGGGGCCTCGCATCTAAAGATACATCGGCAAAGTTACGTCGGCCGGGGTCGTGAAAGGCTTCTGCTTTGACGCGATCCTTTGAAGTGGTTTTCCTCGGACCGCGGCTATTCAAACGGATTCACCTGATCGTAACGTCGGCCGTAACCGTTTGCGANAATGTATTCGACAACGATTTTTGCGATCATCTATTGGGTTGGCAACTAAGTAATTGCCGATTTCAGTTATAGATGTCTCTCACTCCCATTTTTATGATATCCGTAAATTTTATATTATAAAATTATTATTATTATTATTACTATGTTATTTTTTATTATCCGCGAATGTTAGCAACTGGACAAATTGAATGCAGCGGTCAAGGAAAAGCGACCAGAATTGGTCGATCGTAAAGGTGTCATTTTCCAGCAGGACAATGCTAGGCCGCACACGTCTTTGTCCACTCGGCGAAAATTGATGGATATTGGTTGGGAATTCATGTTACACCCACCATATAGCCCTGATCTCGCGCCATCGGATTACCACTTGTTTCGATCCCGGGACAACTCCCTTCGTGGTAAAACTTTTAACGACGACGACGCTGTAAAATCTCGCTTAACTCAGTTTTTGGCCGAAAAGGATCAGACTTTCTACGAGCCTGGAATTTTCAAGTTGTCAGAGAGATGGCAAAAGGTCATCGAACAAAATGGAAAATACATTACAGATTAAACTTCTTTCCAAGTAAAAAAAAATTTTTTATTTCATGTTTTTGGTTGTTCAATGACATTTTCATGACCGTAACTATTTATTTATTTATTTAGCATAAACAGTCCTGGCGTCCTTTTAATTTTCTAAAAACACTCACTAAAAACACTTACTTATATAATATATATAAATTATAAATATATATATATTTTGTATTTTATATTTTATATATTTATACGTACTATTTATAGTATGTTATATTTATATATATTTTATTTATACTATTTATATATATATTATTTTATATATTTATATATTTATATATACACATATATATTATATATATATTTGAACGTTAAAAGAGAACAAAAATCCCGTAAATAAAATATATTATCAACGGTCTGCAGATTGTATGCACTTACAGCAAAAATGAACAAATCAAATACAAAATGAAAAGAACGTACGAATCATTTACGGACATTATTACACTGTTTTCATCGTATTACGATTGTTAAAATAGGAAAGACTCTTCCATCTAATTCGTATATCTTATACCTTAACTCGTGTAATTTTTATTTCGCATAAAGAGCTCCGCGGCCCAATTATCATTATTCCAACAGCTCAAACAGAATTTTTAGAAACGTTAACACCTACCGCGCCCGCATAGAGCGTCGGGGTGCGTTTTCCCGACCGCTGTCGTTAATCGACGGCCCGTAATCTTTCGTTTGCTATCGAACGGGATTTCTTCCCGCAAATGGAAGAGATACGGTACACTGGGCCGACGACTCCTACTCGAACGTTCGGCGGTTTCGTAGCCAGTGACGAGCGTTTCGGTTGCCGAGAGATCGGCAACGTCATCGATCAGATTCCTACGACAAAACGTAGAACCAGGGGGCTCGCGATCAAAAGGAAAGACGAGAATAAGTGCCGCGTAACCGCGCGGCGATTTGTCCGGATCAGCGTCAGGCTAAGCAGATTACAGGCTCTCCCCAAACGAGGCGGCAACCATGAGCGAACCATGAGGTCCGTCCCATCGATGGACAACTTGCCAAAGTGTATCTCGCGAGGGTGCGTACCGTCCGCGGCTCCCCGGTTTTCGGCGGCGGCGGCGTGCGAGCGACGGACGATTTTATCCGTTTCCGCGCCGGAAACCACCGCCGCGGACGGAGCCCGGAGAAACAGAAGCCCCCTCCGGCGACGTCGAGGACGGTGGGACGGTTTCGTTAAAAGGACAGATATCGATAACAAAACGCGCCGGTTTTATACGGCAACTAAATATATCCTCTCGGCGAGCGCATCCGCGCGGGCCGAGAGAGACGCGGGGCCTCGCATCTAAAGATACATCGGCAAAGTTACGTCGGCCGGGGTCGTGAAAGGCTTCTGCTTTGACGCGATCCTTTGAAGTGGTTTTCCTCGGACCGCGGCTATTCAAACGGATTCACCTGATCGTAACGTCGGCCGTAACCGTTTGCGAGCGCGCGGCTGCCGGTTCCTTTGGAAAAAGCAACGCCACGCGGCCGGCAAGGGCCCCAACGACCGGAAGCGATGCTTTCGACATCGGCATTGGCTTTCCCTTTGAGCCCGGTTCTCGATCGCCTCGCGGCCATCGCCGAGCAAAGCCGTCATTGAATATCGCAGATCCCGAGTTTTCCGGCGATCCGAAACGCGGGAAGAATGTCCCGGCGATCAAATACCGCCGGTGGTTTTCGTTGCGGGCCGCAAAAAGGTGAAGGGAGAGAAAGGGAAGAAGTGGAGAGGGCCTTCTTGTCGGGCGAGAGCAAACGATCGCGTCGGTCCATGGTTTCCGGCTCATTTCTGGCACGGCTGCTCCGCCGAGAATTATAACATTTATCTTGCGCGGATAATAACGGAATTGAATCGCGTGAAATTTCTAACTCGTAATAATATCGCGCTCGGTTTTTTTGTATATCTTAAACCGTATAATTACAATGATCCGACCCGCGATGATATCGGCGCGGCGATCCGCGTATCGCTACCTACGTATTTAGCGCGCACAGGCAATTTCCTGCTTTATTATAATAATATCCGGAGCAATCTGCCGCGTTCCCAGCTCGCGGCGCGTAGCCGCACCGTTTCGCGGGGCTTCTTATTTTCGAACGCGCCGGCCAAACGCCGTGCCGTGCCGTGCCGTGCCGTAGCCGATCTCTCGGTTTCCCAAGCGTTCGTCTTCGTCGAATTCGTCCTGTTTCGCCGTCACTCGGGGAGATCGGGCCCGCGACAACGACCGATCGGCGAGCCGTCGACGAGAGGCGGCCGGAAAAAACGTCGTAGCTCGACGGAAAACGGGTTCGGCCGTCGCGCGACGATCGAAAGGACGCGGCGCGCGAGGCGAAAAACGGAAAGGAAACGGAAAAAATCACGAAAACAGCGCGGGCGAAGGGTGGTGGGGGAGGGAAATGGATAGAGAGAGAGAGAGAGAGAGAGAGAGAGAGAGAGAGAGAGAGAGCGATGGCGGAACGGATGCTGCGGGTGGCGGAGGGAGGAAAGCGGTCCCTGTCAGCAATTGCCCCCTCCCTCGTAAGAAAAAATGGCAGCTGCCGCGACCGAATGCCTCGTACCAAACCATAATGTCGTACCACCCTCCTCGGTTACTCGTCCGCGCCGAGCTGGCGAGGGGCTCCCGAGGCCCGAGGAGAAACGGGAGGCCGACCGTGGCGAAAGAAACAACCTGGACGGGGAAAAAGAGGACGTCCCGATGGGGCGAGTCGCGACGAGGACGAGGCGGCCGCGGAGGACGCGGCGGGCGAGGAGGTCGCGGAGGCACGAGGCGGACGAGGAGCGAAGAGAAAGAGAGAGAGAAGGGATCGCGAGAGGGGAAGCCTCGCGACCACCACCACCACCAGCACCAGCACCAGCACCACCGCCACCTTGGTCGCCGTCGCTGCCGCCACCGCCGCCACCGCCATCGTCGCTACCAACACGGGTGTAACCTCCACGGTGACCGGCGACGACGACGGTTGACGGCTTCGCCTCGCTGCTACCATCGCGGCTACCATCTCTGCTACCATCGCTGCCACCGCCATTAGCGGCGGCGACCCTGCCGAAGATCGCGCCCGGCGAGACTGCGGGAATAAATGGAATCGAGGGAAACCGGGGATAGAGAGAACGGAAAGCAAGCGAATCGAACGGTTCCGCGAAAGCGTGTACGAGCCGTACGCGGGTGTACCCGCTTAGAAAGACAGCTGGCTGCCGGTTGGCGATCGCGAGAGAAGAAACGCGGCGAGGAGGCGCGGAGAGAGAGAGAGAGAGAGAGAAGGAGAGAGAGCGAGAGAGAGAGAGAGAGAAGGCGCGAGCGAGAGGGGGAGCGGTTGATAGAGGGAGAGAGAACCCGAGAGAGAGGCGGTAGCGGTAATAAGGTAGTCTCGGCATTCCCGATGAATTCCTAGGAGGAGTGAGGCGGCGGGCGGAGCCGGGTGCTGATCGTTCGGGCGGAGCTTGGCCGGAGGGTGCCGCCTACCGAACCACCGCAGAGTCGCCTTTTCTCCCTCTTCGGGTCGTCTCTCACCCCGTGTCGAGTGGTGCGCGCTCTGTCCCGGCTTCGGCTTCGGCATCGGGATCGGGATCGGCATCGGCATCGGGTGTTGGGTTTGGCGTCGGCGTCGACGTCCCGTAGCCCCGCGCGACCCTCGTTCTCGGCCTCTACGGCCTCTACGGCCACCGCCACCGCCACCGCCACCGCGGTCGCCACGCCGCACCGCGCCGCGCCGCGCCGCGTTCTCGCCGCGCACGGCGCGCCTCGTACCTCGGATCCGGAGAAGAGAGAAGAGAGCCGCGAAGCGCCGGGGGTGGGGACCGAAACGAGGAGCCGACCGCCGGTGGCGCGGGTCAGTCTGTCGGGCAACCGGTCGCTCTCTCGTTTCTCGCTCTGTCCGCGCTCTCCGCTCGACTCGAGCGCTCTCCACGCACTCGGGACTCTCGAGGCTCGGGACACACGGGACATCGAACCGATACGGGCCGATATCGCGACGCGACACGACGCGATCGCACCGCGCGCGTTCTTCCTCCTCTCTGTCTCTCTCTCTCTCTCTCACTCTCTCCCTCTCCCTCTCCCGTGCCCTCTCCGTCCCTTCTCTCGTCGAAGGACCTCGAATGTCCTGCCGCCCGTGATCCTCGGACCCGTCCGCGTCGTTGACAGTGCCGTTCCGCGTTTCCGAAACGCGCGAGATCAGTGGTTTCTTTTTCGATAGGTGCGCGCGTGCATCATCGCCGTGCTGCCTTCAAGTTGCTGCGGTTCGCTTCGACCGTGGTCTCACCGTCGAGTCGAACGCGTATATCGAGGTGTCGCCGCGATGCGCGCGCTACACCGCCGCGCACCTCGAGGCTCGACGTAACGGGACGCCTCGCGTCGCGACGAGCCGCGTTTCCGTTCGACGCGTGAGTTTGTTCGATTACGGTCGCCGCGAAGCGTTCACGGAGCCTGGTGACGGAAACGAGAAAGCGCACCAAAGGTCCGACGCGGCAGCTACGACGTCGACGACGACGACGACGACGACGACGACAAGGACGTTGAAGACGGGAGACCGTGATCATCCGGGAGGATGTCGAGGATTCCGGTCAGCAGGAGCGTAGATAGACCGACAACAGTCTCGGAAAGCGAACGGAAGCCTCGTCGTCGCTCGTCGAACGGGAATAATCGCCGGCCGAAGCACCGATCATCGTCCGCCGTCGTCAACGATAACAGTTGAGGGACCCGGTTAAGAGGGCCAGAGTGTCAAGAGTGGTAGAGGGCGAGGTGATGTTGCTGGAGTCGCGAGGTCTCGCCGGTAGGAAGAGAAACGGATTGACGCTGTCTTCGTTCGGGGGTGGCGGCGGCGGCGGTGGCGGCGGCGGCGGCGGCGGTGGTGGCGGAGGAGGTGGAGGAGGCGGCGGCGGAGGAGCCGGCAGCGAGGAGGACGACGAGGAATCTCGACATCTGTTTCTTGGACGAAAAATGCAGGCCGAGGGCACCGCCGCCTCCGCGGTTTCCGCTGTTTCCGCGGTCTCCGCGGTCTCCGCCGGCCGCGGCCTGTCGCCCGGCTGCACCCGCGACGACGCCGACGAAAGCTCCAGCCCGTCGCCGAACAGCAGCCTCTTGAACAATCTAAACAACAACTGCAACTCGAGCCGGCAGTCTGCCACCGACTTCAGCATCGCGGCCATCATGGCGAGGGATTCGAGGCAGCAGCAACAGCAACAGCTACAGCAACAGCAGTCGCAGACCTCCTCGACGTCGCCGCCGATACCGCAGCAACAGCAGCAGCAGCAGCAACAGCAACAACAGAGCCAGTCGCAGCTGCAGCAGCAGCAGCAGCAGCAGCAGCAGCAGCAGCAGCAGCAGCCTCATCAGCATCGACAGTTACAGCAACAGGCCGTCGGCGGCGGCAAGCTGCATCAGCACGGTGAGTCTCGTTTTGCACGGTGACGTCGAGCTTTATTAGCGCCTCTAAACGGGTGCCGTTCAGTTTAGGAAGCGTGTGCACGCTCTCGCCGGCGAAAGAGAGACGCCGGTCTGCCGAAAATCGATCGATCGCTGCGAGAAACGCTAAAGGGTTATCCGGCGCGAGTGATACGATTCGGCAGATCGCGGCGCGTCTCGTGTTACAATAACAATGCACGACGGTGCGAGAGCGTGGCGCGACGGATAAGTCCGCGCCGTTCACGTTGTCGTTCTCGTCGTCGTTGTCGTCGTCGTCGTCGTTACCGCTGCCCCGTCGCTGGCTCGTTACCGAGATAAACGTCGTCGACGGTCCAGCTTTTTTTACTCCCCTTCTCCGTCCGACCCGTCAAACGGGACCGTTTTTGTCCGGCTCTCTGCTTCCCCGACGGTTTCGTCTCGTTCTTTCAGAAGGCAAAAAAGACATTTTGCCCGAGATGATATTTTCCGTTGTCGACCGTTTCCCGATACGCGTCTCGAGGACGCGCGCGCGCCGCGAAACTCGTTTCCGTTTCCGTTTCGAACCGCCGGGACAGATTTTTTTTGTTTCGAGCTTGGATCGTTTCTACGGCGGGGAGAGGAACGGGAGGAAAGAAGGAGAGGAGGAGGAGAAAGACGGAAGGGGAGGGGGACGAAGTTGCAAGGGACTGCGTGGTTCCTTTTGTTAATGAATGATTTAACGGGCGAGGTTTTTTCGAGGCTTGTAGTAGTCGGTCCCCGGTGCGTGATTTCGCCGGGCGTTAATTCCTCGGGCGCGAAGCGGTCGTTTCGCGCGATCAGGTGAGGTGTCTCATCGGAATTCTGGAAACGACCGTGGCTGCTTCGCTCAGCCAGACGTCCGTTCGGACGGGGCTCGACTCGACCCGGCTCGACTCGACTCGACTCGACTCGACTCGACTGGACTCGACTCGGTGTTTGGTTTCATCATCGCGTATCTTGGACGCCCGCGGCGAATAATCGCCCACGAAGATTCTACCGCGGACGAAATTTACGGTTGGCCACGGTGCAATTCACCCACGGAAACGGACCGTCGTTCCCAAATAAACTTGGGTAAACGGCGCGATGAATCGACCAGCGGACTCTCGTGTGCGTGCACGTGTGTTGGACACGCGCTCTTACTCCCCTCCGACCTCTCCGGGCCGCGCCGAGCCGCTCCAAACCGCGGGCCAAAGCAAAACCCGCTGGCCCACGGATTCCAAATTGTTAAATAAACGCTAATTTCGGTACTCGTTGATCGACGACGAACTTCGCCTTCCGCGTCCCGTCGCCTCTCGCTTCGTCGTTTCCCTCTTCGATGATCGCCCGACATGCGTCTTCCCTACTTTATTTATTTATTTATTTATTTATTTATCGAAATAACGGGTCTCTGCTTAATACGATATACAGCGAATGAGGAAATTTAAAAGGATATGGAACGTTCGCGACGTGAGACGCGCAGGTGAGGTTAGAAAGCAGTCCTCTGCGTGTTCAGCGAAGTCAAATTATAGTCAATTCAACAGTCTATAAATAGAATATTTCTGAATGTAAATAGATTTAGCGGGTCTCTAAATTTATTTAGAAACGATGCGAAATAATTTCTGGTCCCTTATGACCGTCCTGCATACGATCATTATCTATGTATCATTATACCAAAGAGCGTCGAATCGTTTATAAATAAATAAAAAGTCGCATCGCAATTACAGACATTGCCATTGGACGAATCGATTCTAAAAAATCTTTTCTCCGATCCGAGCGACCGCTGCCATTCTCGACGCTTGCTCCGCGTTTTTCCACCGCGACCGTCGTTTCGGAACGTCGATTCCGCTAACTGCGAACGAGAACGCAGCGACGGGGCCGGGCGCATCGCGTGTTCGACGAACGAACAAAATCGAAATTCTCGACGGAACGGCCGCGGGGCCTCTAGTTCCGCCGCGAGAGAACGGTAGCCCGTTTTCACGGTTTGGCCGCCGGGGACGAAAAAAAAAACTGTCACGCCGGGCGTATAGGGTTTCGTCGGAGTGTCAACCGTAATAAATAGCCAATGACTTAGTTAAGCGAGGAACTACGACACGCCGCGTCGACCGTGCCCAGAAGTTACGACCGGTTGGAATCGGCTCGGGATCGATTAACTCGTCGGAGCCAGATGGAGGAGGCCGTGTGGCCGAGGCCGAGGCCGACCTACGGGGAACGCCTCGAAATAACCGGAAACCGTAACGACCCTTATCGTCTCGCCTTCTCTTCATCCCGTTGATCGTTCAATCGGCTCGCGATTTATTTCTCGTTCCGCGTCCCCACCCCCCGTTCCCCCGTTCGCAACCGTGAACGGACACCGCTCCGGCGAATCGTCGCAGCGTTCGTCCTCGTCGCGCGGACTTCCTACTCGCGGCGCGGCTAAAAAGTCTCGAAAAGCCGGTTCGCCGGAAACGATCGGAGCGTCGACGAAGAGATTCGGCGGGCCCCGATCGAGCAGCGGCGAGCAATCGAGTCGCGCTCTCGTCGACCCACATAGGGGATTCGTGGGCGCTCACCTGGCCGCTGGACCAGTTCGCTGAAACGATCGTCGACGCGTTCGCGATTCGAGTTCGTGTTCCTTCGTACGTCGGTAAACGCTTCTCCCGTTTCGAGCATTCTCGAAGCGTTCGCTATCCCGAGATTTCTCGCCTCGATAAGCGATAACCGATAACCGATAACCGATAGAAGGAAACAAATCGTTCTCGGGCTTGTCACGAGAATGTTGACAATTTTATCGTCGCCGGATGATACGCCGAGTCGGACGACGGCCATCCCCCCGCGCGCCCTCTCGCCCCCCTCGCGTAGCGTTCACCGCTTTCCCGGAAGTCTCGGGGAACGTAGAGCCGCGCGAAACGCACGCTGCGCGCGTGGCGAGGCAGATTTTCCTCGGCGTATCGCCGCGGGTCCTGCGTACGGCCTGCGGAACGAGGCGATATGGTTCGTTCGCTCGCTCGCCCGGAATTACATCGTGCGCCGTTAGTCGAGTAAAACCGATCGGGGACCGTCAAACACGCGGACGGCTCGCCGCGGACGACAGAAAAATTATGTAGATCGCAGCGAGGCCGCTTCCGGCGCGCGGACGCGTCGATGTCTCCCGCTCGCCGCGTCCGCGTCGCGCCGCGTCCGCGCCGCTCCAGAGCGGGCCCGTCGAATTTTACTGCACGCTTGTCGGACCGATCTCCTCGAACGTCGTCTCTTAATTTCGGCGCCTTACTTTGATAAACGTATTAAGTTCGTAGGAAGAGCGCAGCATCGGTTTTTGCGACTCGTCTCGCGGCACGTTGGCAGGGCTCGGGGAAATATCGATTTTTGAAATAGCGAATTAGAGCGTGAATATTTTCGTCTTCTCAAGTAGTATAGAATTTGGCGAATAAACTATTTTGTAAATCGTAGTTGCATGCGGATATTAACTAATTTACGCTGACCGTACCGTCGCCGGTCAAATGACCGGTTCGACGATTCTTATTTTATAATTATTGAAATTATAAAGACCACCGGAAACCATTCGATAAATTTATTCGTCCCAACATATATTAATGTAAAAATTGGGAGAAATCTAAATACGTTCAATACTTTTGCATAAGGCAACGCGGACGAGTAATGTTTTCCGCTCGGTACGGTTAATGTTAAAATAGTAAATGGATTGTAAATATTTTTATCTTTTCGTGTGATACAGAATTTGGCAGATGAACTATTTTTTAAATAGCAGCTACATATGGATATTGCCCGATTAAATACATGTATTTGAAATGCTATTTTCATATGAAAACTGTTACTTCGTACGAGATTTATTTAACAAATTCTGTATTACAAGAGACGATAGAAATATTTACAATCTATAGTCTACTATTTCAAAAATCTATTTAACCCCAGCCCTGCGCGCACACACACACATTGGGCAGCCTATGCACTTTACCAACGCTAAACCTACCCCATCGCCGGTCGAATGACCGGTTTCACATTTTTGATTCCGTAATTGTTGAAGTCGTAAAGCTGCTTCCATTAGGAATCGTTGAATTTATTTATTTATTTATTCGAACACAGACTATTATAAGTGGACTGCGGATCTTTATGCATTTATGGCTTGTACAGATTTTTCAGATGAAAGAAAACATGTCAATTAACAAGGTGTGTAATAGCATTTTTATTCTCATTTTGTAACAAGCGATCTTTTAGTTGACGAACGATATTTCTTTTCTTTAATTCCAATTCTGAATGGAATGGAAATGGAATGAGAATTGCGAATGGAAATGAGAATTTGCACAAAGATCCGCAGTTTAATTGTAAGAATTACAGGCGGCCCTCGATTTTCGCACATTCTACTTTCGCATAATTCGCTATTTTGCAGATTTTAAAAAATTCAACTTTGCAAGCCTTTGCGGTCGAATGTTCCCTCTGAGCGGACATCGCGAGTCGAGCAGGCTGCATTGTAATTGGATGCCCCCTCTCAGGGGACATCAGACTTTAGCCATCGGATTACAATGTTGTTCCGATCAAGAGGTCAAGACTTTGACAATTAAAAATATGAACGAAGCCTTCATGCATCTGGACAAATTTTTAACTGTTATGAAAGAATGCGATCCTAATGGAGAACGTATATCTCAAGTACGTAGGGCAATACAAAAAGACACTGCGCGTTATAAGTGGTACTCAACTAACTCTAACGACAAGTTTATAAAAAAAACACCTGAAAGCTAAATAAATAAATAAATACTTTAAAACACCGTTTTTGGTGCATATTTTTTTACATCCCCTTACTGTCGAACATTCATTCGCACATACTTTCAGGAACCAATTGTGTGCGAAAGTCGAGGGTCCACTGTATAAAGAATTACAATAAATTCTATCCTGTAGTTCTTATAAGGAGAGGCTTGTTAGTCGCTTTTGAGACCTCGGAAGGTTTAGCTCTAATCGCAACTTATAAACCCACGTTATCGATTCTGGGCTCAACTACTCTTCAGCATTGAAAAAAGT